AGGGCTTGAACTCACAAACCGTGAGATCATGACCTGAGCTGAAGTCAGACTCTTAACCGACTGAGCCACCCAGGTGCCCCCCGCCCCCAGTAATATTCTTTAATGTGTTAAATAACAAAAGTTCAAATGAGTAAAATTTAAAGATCTAATTGGCATTATTTAACAATTCAGGAATCAGCCAGCATCCCATCTAGTAAATACAGGGTCCCTCTGAGGAGATGTACAAAATGGAAGTTTTTTAAAGAAGGGGGGACAAGAAAGTTATAAGCATTGTTACAGGGTTTGGGGCAAGGTGGCTTTCCCTTAAGAGAAAAACAAGGGTCTTATCATGCAGATTACCTCATCTTTTGGGGGGACTGGAGAGGATCCAAGTGGCAGACTCATGGCACTGACTCAAAAATTCCTGACTGACCAGATAAGTGTACATTTCTTGGGGAGGCTGAAACTGCAGTTAGATTAAGTATCAAGCCTGGTTGGGAATTTGGTCTAAATCACACCATTTGGAGCCTATGGGTTTTTTTGTTTGTTTGTTTGTCTTGTTTTGTTTTGTTTTGTTTTGTCTTAAGTAAGCTCTATGCCCAATGTGGGGCCTGAACTCACAACCCGAGATCAAGAGTTGCATGCTTTACTGACTGAGACACCCAGGCACCCCACCCTTTGTTTTTTATCTTTTACTGCATATCCGTGCATCCACGCACAATATTTGGGAAAGTATTCCTTGGCAGGTTTAAAAACTGGCCTTTTTACTTTAATGTTTGAGATTCGTTCCTAGCCATACGTGTGGCTTTGGTTCATTTGTTTTCATTCCTGGGAGGTATTTCAATAGGCAATGGTTTTGATGCAAAGCCTCCATCCATTTTCCCTTTGGATCAGTCTCTAGGGTATTTCGGCTTTTCCTCTTAACAGACGGTGCTACGTCTTTCATTTAGCTGAGAACTTCCTTGTTTCATTTTTTAATATTTTAAAGTAATCTCTACCCCTCAACGTGGGGCTTGCACTCACAACCTTGAGAGGCAGAGTCCCATGCTCTACCAACTGAGCCAGCCATTCGCCCTGAGAACGTCCTCATTTCAAATGTCCAGTCATGGGGGTCTGGTTCCTTATGCCTGCAGCATTTGGGTTCACTCTGCCCCCTCCTGCCCTCCCCTCTCGGTACACCCCCATTCCCTTCTAGCTGCTCCCGGCTCCCAGGCTCCCCTTCCAGGCCACTCCCCACTTGAAGCTGGGGGTGGGGGTGGGGTCTTCAAACTGCACGTCTGTGATCATTTGCCTGATGCTGGTTCCATCTCCAAGCCCAGTGATGCATGAGGGTGGGAACAGGACCCATCTTCCTCACCCCTGGGCACCCTGGGAAGACACATTGAGTGAGATGAAAATGTCCCAGATTCGGCAGCTGGCTTTGGAATTCTCTTAGGGCAAGAACTGTTTTGGTGGCTGAAAATATGTGGCTCAGCCGGTTGGTGGAGGCGAGGGAGTAGAAGAAGGGTGGAGGGCAGCATCTTAAGAATTGGCTGGTTGCAGGGGTGCCTGGGTGGCTCAGTAGGTTAAGCGTCCAAAGGGCCCCTGGGTGACTCAGTCAGTTGAGTGCCTGACTTCAGCTCAGGTGAGATCTTGCAGTTCATGAGTCGGAGCCCTGCATTGGGCTCACCGCTGAGAGGGCAGAGCCTGCTTCTGATCCTGTTTCCCCCTCTTTCTGCCCCTCCCCCACCCCCCAAAAAACACTTAAAAAGTGTTAATAATAATATTAATAATAATAAAGAATTGGTTGGTTGGAACAACAAGGGAGTGAGCTTAAGGCTTTGCATTCAAAAGCCACAGGAAGGGGCACCTGGCTGGCTCTGTCAGTAGAGCATGTGAGATCAAGGTCCTGAGTTCAAGCCCCAAGTAGGGTGCAAAGCTTACTTAAAAAAAAAAAAAAAAAAAAA